GCCAAACCGGTTTCAGCCTAAATTTGAATTCTTCAGGAATAATTGAAATAATACTTTTCACCTCAGCGAGGACTCTGAGCTCCACAGAATCTGAAATAATATCGCAAAACAAGAGATCAGTTGCAGACAACACTTCCCAGAAACCTGTGACCAGCCCCCCAAAACTAAGGTTGTCATTTCCCAACACCCCTCAGGCACTCCAGCACCAATATTTGCAGTGATCAGTGAGTGACTGGCACCCTAATGCCACTTGTGGGGTCCGGAAAACTACATTACCCAAAGGGCAATGCGCCTAATGATGGCCGGTTTTAGCCAATGAAAGCCCAGGACCAGCGCATTATTGGTTTGGGAGTGACTTCCTGTGTCTTTCTCCTGGTGGTCATTTTGAACTCTTTGTTCTGATTAGGTAGTTAGAGGCTCTGGTGCTGAGTCCCTATTAGGACGAGGCACCAGAAGCCGTGTCCCCGCTGTGCAGTGGTGTGTCTGAGGCTTGATTAGCTGCAACAGGAGGGATTGAGGTCCCCGTGCCTCCCAGATTCCGTTTTGCTTACAGACTTCAACTCAGCCTTCATCCTTGGGTCCAGGCGTCTGTCAGGTCCTGCAGCCCAGGTTGCAGCGTCCAGAACCGTGAGTCTCTTGTGGGTGACGTGCAGTGTGACGGGGTGAAGGAGGGTGACAGGATGCAATGCCACTGTGTAAGGTTTGGGTTGGTGTGGCTGAGCTGGGAGGATTCGGGAATCCTGGGCCTGTTTTGTGTCTAAATTAAAGGCAACAGAGAAGATGAGGCGAAGTTTTGCCAGAGACGTTTTCGTTTCATTCTCAGGAAGCTGGGGCCATCAATGGCTGTGAATAAAAGAAGGACATTGTCTTAGGTAGGGTTCCAAACGTTTCCCAAAACTGCTCAGAGGAAGAACACACTAGAAGAGAGAGGATACCTGTTGGGACAGGAAGGAGAAGTCCTTTTAAAGATAACAAACTTGGCAAGCCTGTGCACTGAGGCCTGAGGCCTGAGGTAATACAGTCATCTCTAGATCACCTGACCCCAAGGCTGGGAAAGGGCACTGGGTGGCCAAGCCCATGGATCCTGGTGGTGTTTGCCAGGCTCTCAATAGTCCTTTATCTTTCTACAGATTCCTGCAAATGCACAATCAATTACAGGTACAGGTTTGTGGATGGAAGAAGCAGTTGGATTATGGATTAGTGTTTTAGGTGTGGCCACCTGGATTTTTAATTTTGAGGTTGAGAGAGAGAGGTAAGAGTCAGCGATGATGGGAGGTTTGGGATTGAGCAGCTTGAGAAATGGAAGCATCATCAATTGAGATGGATATATTTATAGGTAGATTAATGTTCTTTGGGGATATAATAACTTTGGCTTTGGGGTTTGTTTGTTTGTTTTGGCCTGTTAGGGTATAACATACTACAGAGGGTAGTTCGTGAGAGTCTGGAACTCTGAGAAGCAATTCAGAATGAAAATTTCTTAAAAAGGTAGTGGACCTTTTTAAAGTGGAGGTATAGATCACCTTTTTCTAAAAACTATGTTCTTACTGGATTTAGAGATAGAGAGGAAGGCAGAGGTAGAGAGACAGAGAAACATCGATGAGCAAGATCCCAGGATTGCTTGCCTCCTGCAGGCCCCTTACTGGAAATTAAGTAGGAAACCTGGGCAAGTGACCTGACCAGGGCTCAATTCAACTCATGACCTCTCAGGGAATGGGTTGATGCTCAACCAACTGAGCAACACCAATCTGGGCTTTAGATCACTTTAGTATGGGGAATCATGCCCTAGCTGGTTTTCTCAGTGGATAGAAATGGCCTGTGGATTGAAGGGTCCCGGATACGATTTCAGTCAAGGGCACATGCCTGGGATTCAGGCTCAATTCCCCAGTAGGGAGGGGTGCAGGAGGCAGCCAATCAATGATCCTCTCTTATTGATGTTTCTCTCTCTCCCTCTCCCTTCCTCTCTTAAATCAAAGAAAATATATTTTTAAAAATAAATAAATGGGGAATCATTCAGGATGATAATGGTAACTCAGGAAGGAGAATGTCACCCTGAGGACTGGGTTTTCTGCTGGGTTTCCTGTTTGTGCGAGTAAGGTGTCACAGCATATCATAGGGACAGAAGTGTTCAACTACATGGTGGAGGAAATATTCTCATTTGGCAGTGGCTAAAACCCACGAAAGGTGAGTCATTGCCAGATGAATTGGAGGCCGAAAAGTAATTCAGAGATAAGCCTGGGGCTGATGCATATTTACTTCTTAAACACTCACCAGGATTTTGTTATGACCCTTTGAATGGCCTGAGGTGTTGCGGTCAGTCTGATGGATTAGCTTAGGAACACTACTGGTCAACTATGAGACTCACTGGGCCTGGAGTCATTGGGCTGGGATTTGGGTGACAGTTAAGTGGGGAGATAAATGCTGCCACTAGTGAAGGGACATCAAGTGCAGCACCAGTGGAGGTGAGCTCTGGATATCTGAAATCTGAGGTAGTTCTTAATAGGTGAGGTTGAAGGAAAAAAATAATCAAGGACAGAGGCCTTTTTAACAGTACTCAAGGATGCTTCCATAAGCGTAGACTATCAGAGTCGGGGTAGTACTTCATCCTGTTAGAACAGGTTTAGAATTCGCTGGACGCCCATGCTGAGTAATGAGTAAGAGAACAAGGAGATGACTATGGGGGCTGTGGCTGTGGGAATGCAGGTGTGAGAGAGGTGTGGTAGAAATAGTGTTGTGAATTTGCAGATGGAAGGTGAATTCATGGGCACAGGGATCTGACATTGACATAAGAGAATGAAGTGTGTGTCCATTTTTGGTGATGTCTGGATGACATGACATGGGAATTTTAGGGTCATTTCTGTAAAGAGGGGATGTGGTTGTGCTACATGCCAGATTCATAGCTTAGATGCCAAATATGTGCCCACCTGCCTTTTGTCAGTCTGAGGGCTGACACAGTGATCAATAGGAATGAGAGAGCATACATCAGTGTCACCTGGCTTGAAAATCTCCACTGGCATGGAGAAGGGAAAAGGGGAAGACAGTAATATATTACAGAAGTGGTGAGTTAGAATTTTGGAAAAGAAGCTGATTAGAAAACAACCTGTCCTGGAATGGGTTCACCCTGAGAGAGAGGCCCGTGCCTTGGAAAGCATCATGGTAAAAAAGGAAGGAAGGGAGGGAAGGAGGGAAGGAAGGAAGGAAGGAAAAGAAAGAACAAAGGAAGGAAGAAAGGGAGGGAGGGAGGGAGGAAGGAAGGAAAGAAGGGAGGAAGGGAGGGAGGAAGGGAGGGAGGGAGGGAGGGAGGTAATCTGTCCTCCTCGTGGCATATTTGTAATAATTTTGAATTTGTCCCTCTGAGAATGAAGCTGTGGGATAGAAGTGGGGTTCAAATAATTATATGCAGCAGGTACTACAAAGTGAGGGCCTTAGCACCCTGGGATTAGGGTAGGAAGGTTGAAATGTGATGCCATGTTTATTGGTGACTTGGAGAGAAAACCTGGGGGACCACAAAAGTATTGCCAGCCAAAACCAGTGTCAAATCACTCACATTACCTTTATGGCCAACATCTCTCCCAGCCTATGTTTGTGAAACCCACTGTACTGATGAGAGGCAGTGTGGCCTACATGTCAGGCTTAGAGCTCAGGTACCATGAATGTGTTCATCTTCCCTTACTGTTGGTGGAAGGCACAGTATCAATAGGAATATAAGGAGAGAGTGATTTTGATGGGACCTAGGCCTGGCATGTTCTCTGATGGGGGAGTAGAGGGAGCAGATGGATGGGGAGTATGATGAATGTAAAATCCTAGGAGAGAAGCTGACCGTGGACTGAACTGTCCCTATTATGACAGGATATGAACTTTGAAGACTTGGCCATTGCCTTCTCTCAGGAGGAGTGGAATCTTCTTGATGAGGATCAGAGACTTCTGTACTGCGAAGAGATGCTAGAAGTTTTTGCACTTGTATCATCTGTAGGTAAGACCTTCACATCTCTGCTAGTGTCCTAAAGTGATGTCCTCTCTTCCTTAATTCTCCTTGTAGCTTTCTCTCTCCCACAGCCAGACCATGGGTTCTGCTCATTTCCCCCACTGTCTTGTCAAATGTGCTCTAGCTGCCAGTGCTGAGCTGTGTGGAGACCCCTGAGCAATGGACTCTATGAACATTCCTAACACAAATTGCTTCAGAAAGTGCAGGAAGTGTCTGGGAGTCAGGGGTCTTATAGGGAGCCTAATGGTTCCCACCTGCTTTTCTTCTCCCTGAGAAGGTGACCATATCCAGACCCATGGCTTCCATTTGTACCCCTTCCTTTAGCTACAGTTTCTTTGTGACTGTCTGTGCCTGTTATGTTCTTCACTTACATGAACCATGGCTGTTCCTGTAAGACCCTCCTTCAACTGTTGTTTGTAATCTTCCCTTCCCTGAATACCATTGGTAAACCAAATAGCTCTGGGCCAGTGCAGGCTGCTCACCTGTTGTCTTTCATTAATACTCAGACTATTTACTTTTTATGTACTTGTACAGTAGAAGGTACAGGGAGAACCCTGATTTGTTCCACAGGGTGAACTTGCAAGATGTTCTCAGAGGAGGCCTGGTTCTGTTGAGTGCCAGTTGGGGGAAGGTATGACATAAGGGCTGTGTACAGATGATAATCGGGAACCTGCTCACTTCCAACAGTCTTTAGGTGAAAGTGCCATTGGCAACACCTCATTTCTACCTTTTCTTTTTTTTTTTTTTTGCTGTACTTGACACTTTGCTGACTTGTCATTTCCTCTATGGCTTGCTGGCTTTGACTAGCTGCATCTTTGTGGTCTTTTTGCATCACCTGATCCTCTGCACTGCTCTTTCTGAAATATTCTCAGACATTGACCCGCACATGTGTTATGAGGTGCACATACATGCGTTAGCGCCCCTCGAACACTGGTCACACATTTGTGGAATTTTACTTGGAATGAGACATAACCAACCTCCTATACAGCTGCCCATATAACCAGCTGACAAGCCATGCTGAGCACTGTTAGTAGAAGAATGAGCTGGAGATTCTGCTTCTCTTCCATCGTAGTGCTTCCCAGATAGTGCTTGCCATCTTTGTGTCACATTTCTGGTGAGATCTTTCCTGTTTTGTGATACTCAGAGGCCCAAAGCTTCACAGCAGCCTCTTATTAATCCTTCCAGCATATCTCTTATTTTTAGACAATTGCATGGAACCAACATATTATGTGTAACACCCTTTTGGAATGTTACTTCCCCCTGTCACTACAGTCAACATTCAGTTCCTCACCATTTCTCTGTTTTCAGGTTGTTGGCATAAAATGGATGAGGAGGAGGTGCCTCCTGAGCAGAGAGTATCTGTAGGAGAGTCACAGGTCGGGGCTTCTAAGACAGCTCCAGCAACCCAGAAGACCTACCTGTGTAAGCGGTGCTTCTCAGTTTTAAAAGATATTTTGCACCTGACAGAGTTACAAGCAGCATACTGTGAGCAGAAAGCCTTCTTCAGTGACACATCTGTGAAAGACTTCTTTTTCAGTGCAAACTGTCACCAGCAGCAAAGAGATGCCAGTGGAGAGAAGTCCTGGAGAGAAGATATGGACAGGGCCTCGTTTGTGTCCAGGTGCAGCTTCTATTTAACATGGGTGCCTTCGACCAGTAGGGAGGTTGGCAAAGACTTGCCAGCCATCTCAGATATTCTCCAACACCAGGCCACTGTTAGCACTGAGGAGCCACACAATAGCAGTGAGATTTCCTATGAATTTCTCGGTGGAAAAAGTCATCACCAATGTGTTGAATGTGAAAAAGCTGCCAACATCTACCAGAAGGTTGTTCAGCATCTGGGTGTCTGCTCTGGAGAAGTGAATTATGAGTGTAACAAATGTGGGCAAGGTTTTAGACAAATGTTTAACCTCATTCAGCATAAGGGAGTTCACAATGGACAAAGACCCTATGAATGTAGTGATTGTTGGAAGTTCTTCAGAAATAAGTCTAATCTCATTCAACACCAAAGAGTTCATACTGGAGAAAAGCCATATGAGTGTAGTGAATGTGGCAAGATCTTCAGCCAAAGTTCTACGCTCAGTCAACACAAAAGAGTTCACACTGGAGAAAAGTCTTATGAGTGTACTTACTGTGGAAAGGCCTTCCGTGAAAAGTCTCACCTCATTAAACACTACAAAGTTCACACTGGGGAAAAGCC